GGCAGTGGCAGTAGTATTAGGACATAAAGCATTGAAGTCCAACCATGCCAATCTCTAATTCTGGCCTTTATTTAGACGAAAAATGTGACTTTTAGGACTGGCAATCGAGCACTTATAATATGGATCCCTTCTCAAAATTAAATGATTGAACCTGCAAAGGAAGAGGAAAAAGAGATGAATAAAATATGTATTAAACTCTAGAGTAAACTATAGATGGAGATAAAATTTAACAGCAAAGTAGTCATATTATGGAAGTGAAAAGTGGAAAAGATGGGCGTAAGAAAAATGAATGGGTATTTTAATCAATCATATAATATTGAGACAGGATTCAAACTACTTCAAACTACTATTTGATCAGATTGCTGCGAGAGCTGGAGTTGTTATAACACCTATTTACCTAGGTTGTGGTCTGACAGTCACAGGAATTTAAAATATTCTTATGTACAAGGCAAAGCCATTATACCTAATAAAAATGATATTCTACCTAATTGTTTCTTTTAAATTTAAGGCAAAGGCTATGTATATATCTTAAACATAGATGACACGTTTTAGATTTCACAGAACTTAATAATAAGAGTAATTTGATTCTCAAATCTGTAACAAAATGAATGCTACAGACCATGCTTTTGTCAGTCTGGAATCAATTGAAAATCATGTAGAGCAGTTCAGCATATTAAGAATAAAAACTTCAACCATATGACTTAGTTTTCTTGTTTGTATCTAGTAGTGTGAAGGCTAAGTAAGTTACCCACACTTTCATATGTAATGAAAATATATTGTGCTGTTTGATTTTTGTCACTCCTATTAATGAAACTAATTGCTTTTCAAGCAGAAGTATTGCTTCAAACCCAACTGAGTTCAATAGTATGAAAGTTCCCTCCGTTACCTATAAAGATTCCACGTGAAATAAAGTTAGGTAGTTTTCTGTAGCTGCGCGGCAGAAAACTGTCCCTAATTTAGCACTAATTAGTAATCTCACACAGAGAGGTCACAGGACTGCTGATATTTGACGTGCAAGAATATTGCATGAACACAGTTCAGATGGTCTGCTGAGTTTGGGATTGAGGTATGTTGCTGAATAGAACAGAGGGAACTTTTTTCTGTATCTAGCTATGAGTGCTTTATGTTAACACTAAATGCCAGAAATACAAAGAGTTCACTCTCCTCAACCAACATCTTCCATCTTGATGAGCATGAAATTTTAAAGAAACTGACATTTTCCCATTTCTTTGTGAATAGCATTTTTGAACAGGTCGGTATATTTGGTGTATTTTGTTGTAAAAGCATTGTTAGTCTGAAGACATTTGTCACAGGAAACATAGCAAACTAATGAATGCACAGAATTTTGTATTATTTTAATAGTAGAGGAAAATTGTATAATTTGCTTAATATGCACATACTATTTTTAAAGTTACCATTTACACATTTGAGAGCACATGTATTGTAAAGACTGTGTCTTTTTATTTTTCTATATTTTTGATTGTGGACTTTTTGTTGGGAAAACAGCTTTTTGTAAAAACAAAGGATTTATTGATAGATTGTGGCACTTTATGAAAACAAGTAACCTGACACTCACTCATTTTAACTATTGTTTACACAGCTGCTGGTTCAAGCAGTTTTGGTAGATTTGCAGACCAGCTGGAGTCGAGGATTGTGTACAAATGGCAATTCAGCCAGCAACAAGTGGCTAATTGGTCTGTGGACTAGTGACCAGTTAACAGTGCCTGTCAACAATTATGTGATTGGCTCCAAGTAGTTAAACAGTTTGCAGCTGTGAGCAAGATGGTGAGAAGCCATCAGATCTTCACAAGCTCAGGAGCTGTCTGTTCTCTGCAGTATTAAAACATTTCAAGCCTGAAGCAAACCAGTTTATTCTTTAGTAGTGGTAGCTGTAAACTGACTTGTATTGAATGTCCGAGTCTTTTTTTATATGTGTGAGTCAGTCACCCTGTGCCTCCAGCAACCCATGAAATCATCTAGAGAAGAAAAATCAAGAATCAGCATTCTGATTATCTCTAGAATCATCCTGACAAATCTTGTGAACACGGATCACTGAACTGCCTTCTCAGTCTTTCCTTCTGCCCACAACACCCATGTTTTATTTTTGTCCGGTCTGTGTCTGTCTGTATATATGTGTGAGGGGCGGGGTGAGTTTATAAGAGGATTAGCGTTCTAATTCATAGAGCTATGTGCAAATAGTTGTTAACATGTAGCTATAGTATTTATTTCTAATAAATAGTAATTCTTAGAAAGCATGGACCAGGTCTCTGTACTTGACTATCAACCTAGGTCTGAAAGTAAGGTAAATTGGGAAATCTGCATACTTTCAAAATCTTTTACTGTTTGACTCCAGCAATAGTGGAGCTTGATTTCCAGTGCTCTTCCCCAACAAAGTGTGATAGTACTAAATAAAAACTGAGGAGAGGTCACTCGACCCGAAAGATTAGGTCTGATTTCTTTCCACAGATGCTGCCAGACTTGCTGAGCCTGTTCAACAATTTCCATTTTTGTCAAAGTGTGACAAAATTGTGCTTTCCACATTTAAATAATGCAGGTTGGTGAAAAGAATATTGGTGGGATTTTTTTGGGGGAAAATGGAGCAGCTGATCCAAAACCACCAGTTTAGCACATATTCCTAAATTTAAAATTGCCTCCAATGTTTTTGATTTATGAGAAACCACTACAAAATGATCTAATGCAGGAGATTTCTTTTGCAAAATAAAACCACAATCCTGTTCCATAGGGTGTGCAATTCTGAACTATAGATGTGAGAGGAAATGTTCTCATGGGCCTGATACTAACTCAAAAATGTCAAGTGGTTTTGGCCGAGTTAAAACTCCATCCATCTGCCTAAACTAGTAAGGTTCTGCTATGAAGACAATTGCATATATTAAATAGGTGACCCTTTATTCTTAGACTGTGCACTCAGATCCAACCTCTCCATGAAGGGAAACACCCTATCAGCATTTACCCTGTCAGGCCTCTTAAGAATCCTATATGTTTCAATGAGATCACCTTTCATTCTTCTAAACTCCCGTTAGAAGCGTCCCAACCTGTTTAGCCCTTGCTCATAAGACAATCCCACTGTGCTGGGGACATCCTAGTGAACCTTATATGAACTGCCTCCAATGGAATGATATCTTTCCCTTTAGGGGTCCAAATCTGCTCACCAGCACCTTGTATAGTTGCAGTAAGACTTTCCTACTCTTATACGCCAACCCCACTGAAATCCATGCAAACATTCCATTACCCTTCCTGATTACGTGCTAAACCGGTGTGTTAGCTTTCTGTGTTTCGTGCACAAGTACCTCACATCCCTTTGTGTAGCAGCTTTCTGCAGCTATTTTACAATTAAATAATTCGCCATTCTTTTGTTCTCCCCTGTAAAATGAACAACTTCACAATTTGCCACATTATATTCCATTTGTCAACTTATTGCTGACTTACTTAATCTATCAGTATCTCTCTGTAAACTGTTTGTAACCCTCTCACAACCTGCCTTTCCACCTTCTTGTCTTGTTGTCCGCAAATTTGGCTATAGTTTCTTCCAGGTCATATATTGTTAGAGACAAAATAACTGCAGATGCTGGAATTGTAAATAGTTCTGGCCTTGGTGAGACGTGGAGGGATTAATTACAATGGCCGTGGATGCCACAGCAGATAATGGTGATGCATGAGAATGGAAGTAGTGACATGTCCACATTGAGTAGAAAGCACGGGACAGGAATGGCTAGTAGTTTTGGATGGCCAGATGGTTCGAGACACTTGCATGTACATAATGCATGCAGTAATGAGAGTGTAGTCAGTGACCATTGATTGTAAAGGTTGCCTTGTGATTTTAAAGTTGTGCAGAGAGGATAATGGCACTTGCCCTCACAGAGTGCAGAAGATCATGGACCTTTATCCTGCACTGTTGGATATCCCTTCTGATTTCGGACACTGCATGGACTCGGGCTGGCTTTGTCTGTACTTTGGCCTCCAGTGGCAGTCTGAAGGGAAAAGGATAATTCCCCCGAACCAACGTTTCCTGATTCCTGTCCGTGACAAAGTGCGCGCTTTCCTTTGTGCCACAACGTTGATCAACACAATCTTAGGACCAGTTCCTGACTTTTGACATCGAAATATCGGTATGCTTTAAATATGGTAGGAGCAGCATGAATGTTAGATGGTCCCAGCAGTGGCAAGCAGTTCTGCTTCTTCAACTGTGTTTTGCCCGAGAAAGACGCTTAAGAGCCCAATCAAACAATTACTGAGGTGATGAGCAGAAGATAGTGATGGAAAAGTCACTCAATAGTGTAGCACATTGGCTGCCATGGATCTTATTTGGTGATACATTTTAACTGAAAATGGGAAAATTCTGCCCAGATGTCCTCATGAAGTGCAGTGATGCACTCATTGAGATGATGGCAGTTTGTTTTAGCCAAAATATCAATTGTATTAATTCAACTAAGTTAATATAATGATATTGAATATAAATAATTGTTTTGCGGTGAAATAAATCAGCTTAAGACTGATCAAACCTCATTAAGTGTATGCTCGGGGAAACTGAAGCAGTGTGTTGAAAAGACATGGATGTTCAAATTAGGTCACTAGGAAGTATCAACCATACTCCTATCTCATAACTCAATTCCTATATTGCACATAAGCAATGTGAGTCACCTCCCCTAAAAGATCATTTAGTGAAGATATCTAAAAGGAAGAGCATGACTAATTATTGTATGAGCTGGTTAAGAATTGATTTATACCATTTTGCTTGCATTATATGCAAGTTTGGGAAATTAGTAATATCACCTGCAGGATTTAAAAATACTGTTTTATGAATGTGTAAGGAAAAGGGACAAGTAAATTTTGTTTACTTCACTCAATTACTTCAGTCTATTTGTCAGTACTTCGTTTAGGATTCTGATAACAGCTGAAAGTGTCTGATGCATCACCTTGATCGTAATTTTTATGTTCTAAGTTATTAAATTGTCAATCAGATAACTGTGTTTGTTTCACAGAGGCCGGGCTCATTTATTCCTCCCCTTTTTCTACTATCGTTTCCTGACCCTAAGGTATGCATCTCGAAGGAATCCCTACTGCAGGTAGGTAAAATGTTTACCCATCTCCTCCATTGTTTGTAGGCTTGAATACAGTAATAATTATTACCAAAACTACTAAATACATGAGTAGGTATGGGATTTGGATTGTATTTGGATAATGTTGAAGGTAACCTAAGCGTTACAAAGTTTTCAATTCTTGGTAACTCTATCCAGTACAATAAAGTCACTCTTTAAAATCTGCATTACAGATAATATAAGTTGTTTTGCTGGATACGTATTAATGCAATATATTATTCCATAGTCAAAAATTATAAGAATAGTAATTATGTATTATTAGTGTCAAATTATTTGTACTACATTTTAATTCACTAGTAATTTATCAGTGAATAAGTGCAGAAATTTAACTTGTTTTTGATCACCTAAGTTTAAGTAATTCATTTGTGTCTAAAGTAACTACTAAATAATTTGCGTGGTACAGTGAAATAAAAACACCTTTTACCTTTTATACCTCCTAAGCATCATATCTGTACTACATTGCACATTATCAGGAATTTCATTCAAAGAAGTTACTCTTCTCTTTCAGCTGGCTGCAGCAAGTTTTCTCATGCCATTTCCTTACACCCAAACCTTTTTAAAAAATGGTTTTCATATCTTTGTACTCCTCATAAAAGCAAATTTAGTGTGTACAAACATAATTCCACAGTGAGCCCATAGAACCTCTTCAAACACCGTAATGTATGTCAGTTAAAATGACACACAAATTGTCAGCTGTGCATACTGTAACTGAACACTTGTAGTGATTTCCTTGGGTGATCTTACTTGTGTTTGATCTCTTTTTCCTTAATGACTGTTAATTGGCTAGCATCAATGTTGAGAATGGAATAGATTTGATACACCCATTCTGTCTGCTCACTATCCAACAGCACACATTCTTTTTGGTAGCTTGGTGAAACTTGGCCTCATTTGTTCAATAAAAATATATAGTTGATGAACTGATGGAATGACCACTAGGGCATCACCTCCCCAATAAATTGATATTAAATCTGGTGAGATAAGACTAAAGAATATGGCACTGGTAAGAAAATGATCTAATCTACAAGCATTAACATTTAGATTACTTGAAATTAAGGAAAATGTTAAATCTGGTAGTGCAGTTGTATTACTAGTGCATGGTTCTTCTCTGGAATTTTAACGAATGGGCAAAAAAGGATGTAACACAAAGTATCATCATAGAAGAAGAAGAATACACTAAGTCTATCAAGAAAATTAAGATCACAGTGAAGTAAATTTGCATGTTGGCAAACCTGATTCTTGCTGTCTGAGGTTTTAAAATAATTCTGGTGTATTCCACTGGTTTCTACTGAATGAATATAGCTGTGTGCAGCTTTGGTAACTTTCATACTTTTGCCATCCTTTCCTGTGACCTGAGGACAGTCTTATAACTTTCTTCTACCCCTTGACCTTTTCTGTTTTAGGCTTCAAATGTGCTCCTTCACAGCTTTCATTCTAGCTTTGTAATATTCCTGGGTCTGCAACCTCAGGTTGAAATGTTTCTGTGACTGTTGCTTTCCTTTAGTGTAGCTATGCCTCATGGTGCCTGTTTGCCAAGGTGCTAATGCTGGATTGGAGCTGTAAGTACTCTTTTTATAAAAGCTCCTGGCTTCCCCTGGCTGTAATTTTTCCTTGCCCACCAAGGGTTTTAATTTTACTTATGGACACCCAATGTTAATTTGCTATCCAGCTGAGCACTTACTCAGGACACTCTTGCAGATGTCGGGCACCCAATGCAACCTTTTAACAGCCTTGGAGTGACTAAATACTTCAAGGGAATCGCAAACACTGTCCTGCTGCTCCATGCCTCTTACCAGTTTGAAACACTTTTTACCGTCAGTTGTAGATTCTGTCTTGATGAATGTTGCCACCAGGTTTTCTTCTGTAGAGTTCTTTTAATTTTAATCAATTCCTGCTGCTAACTGCAAGAACAGGTTTCCTAAAGCTGCGTCTGAAGAAAACTTCAAATATCCGCCATAGTCAGTTTGAGTTTGTGTTGTGAGGCTGCCAAGTGGAATCTGCACTGCTGCTCACCATGTGATATGAGGATCTCGGCGCTGTTGCTCAACATGTGATGGGTTTACTGCCACCCTTCTTTAGAATAGGGGTCTACAAGGGGGCATGTTTGGTCTAGTGTGGTAGATGCAAACCACTGGCGAACAAAAAGCGGCTTTTTTTTATTCATTTTGGTTTTGGATGTGAGTGTCACTGGCTAGGGCAGCATTCATTACCCATTCCTAAACATCCTGGAGAAGGCAGTGGTGAGCTGCCTCCTTGATTTGCTGCGTGCCTCAGTGTGTTGGCACACCCACGGTGCTGTTGGGCAGGGAGTTCTAGGAATTCTAGCCTTCAACAGTGAAGAACCAGCAATACAGCTCCAAGTCCAAAATGATGTATAGCTTGAACGGGAACTTGCAAGTGGTGATTTTCCCAATCATCTGCTGGCCTTGTCCTTCTGGTCAGTAGAGGTTGCAGGTTTGCAAGGTGATGTTGAAGACCTTGGTTCTTTACTGCAGAGCATCTTGTATAGTGGCAGCAATCTACATTGCTGGTGAAGGATCTGCATGTTGAAGTAGTGAATGTGGTACTAATCAAGCGGGCTGCTTTGTCCTGGATGGTGTCAAACTTCTTGAGTGTTGTTGGAGCTGCATTCATTCAGACAACTTGGGAGTATTCCATCATAATCCTGACTTGTGCCTTGTAGATTGGACAGGTACTGGGGAGAAGTAGAGACTGTTTGTTTATTCACCATAAAATTCCTTGTCTCTGACCTGCTGTTGTAGAGACAGTATTTGTGTGGCTGGTGGAGTTTCTGGTCAATGGTAACTCCCACAATCTTAATGGTGGGGGTTTCACCAATGGTAATGCTACTGAATGTCAATGAGCATTGGTTAGATTCTCTTTGTAGATGGTCATTGCCTGGCAAGTGTGTGTAACAAATGTTACGTGCCATTTATCAGCCAAAGTGTGAGTGTTGTCCAGGTCTTGCTGATTTGGACATGGACTGCTTTAGTATTTCAGAAGCCATGAACTGTGCAATCATCAGCAAGCATCCCCCTTCTGACTTTTTATGGAGGGAATCAGCTGAAAATAATTGGACATAGGACAGTATTCTGAGGAGCTTCTGTTGAGTTGGCTTTTTTTTATTATTTGTTCACAGGATGTGTGTATTGCTCCCTGAGATAGTGGTGGATAATAAATACTGGTTCAGAGAGTCAGTCACATTGCTGTGCATCTGGAGTTACATATAGTCCAGACCAGGTAAGGATTGCACATTTCCTTCCCTAAAGGACATCCGTGAACCAGTTGAGTTTTTACAACAATTGACAGTGGCTACACAGCCACAATTGGATGAGCTAACTATTCTAGATCTTTCTTGAATTCAGATATCAGCATCTAGCATAACAGGATTTGAAGCAGGTTCCCCAGAACATTAACTTGATGACCTGGATTATTATTCTCATGTCATTACCACAACATCACTGCCTACCTCTTCCAGAATCAACAATCATCTTCCTTTATATAACTTCATCCAGCAAAGAGTTTTCCCTGATTCCCATTGTCTCCAGTCTTGCTAGCTCTCCTTGATGCCTTACTGCATCAAATGTTATCTTAATGTTAAGAGCAGTCCCTCCCACTTCACCTCTGGAATTCAGCACTTTTGTCCTTGTTTGGACTAAGGCTGTAATGAGGTCAGGAGCCTGGTGGAAACAAACTGAGCATATGAGCAGATTATTTGTTTGTATACCACTGAATAGCATTGTCGAAGACCCTTTCCATCACTTTGCTGATGATTGAAAGTCAACTGATAGCACGGTAATTGGCCAGTTTGGATTTGTCCTGCTTTCTGTGCACAGGACATCCCGGGTAATTTTCCACTTTGTCAGGTAGATGCCAGTATTGTAACTATTCTGGAACATGTACAGACTAGAGATGCTTCTAGTTCTGGAATACGTGACTTCAGTACTATTGCCACAATATTGTTAGAGCCCATAACCTTTTGTCATTTCCTGGTGTCATGTGGAGTGATTTGAATTGGTTGAAGACTGGCATCTATAATGCAGAGGACCTCGGGATGAGGATGAGATGGATCATCCACTTGGGACTTGTGGCTGAAGATGGGATGCAAATACTTTAGCCTTATATTTTCCAGTGATACCCTGGACTCTTCCATAATTGAAGAAAGGGGTATTTGTGGAGCTGCCTCCTCCAGTGAGTTGTTTATTGTCCACCACCATTCATGACTGGATATGGTAGGACTGCAGAACTTAGATCTGATCCATTGGTTGTGAAGTTGCTTACCTCTGCCTGTTGCTCTGCTGTTTGGCACACAACTAAACCTGTGTTGAAACTTCACCAGATTGACGTGTCATTTTTTTTGGTAAGCTTGGTGCTGCTCCTGGCATGACCACCTGAACTTGACATTGCACCAAGGTATATTTCCCAGCTCAATTGTAGGAGAGAGTGAGGGATATGCAAGACCACTTGGTTAATGATTGTGGTTGAACACTATTATGCTACTGCTGATGGCCCAAAGACCCTCATGGATGGCCAGTATTGAGTTGCTAGATTTGTTCGATATGTCTCATTTAGTATGGTAGTAGTGTCACACAACATGACGTATAGTCTCAGTTGAAGATGGGACCTGGTCTCCTCAAATCTGTGTCATGATCACTCCCACGCAAACATCTGCGACAAGTAGATTGGTTAGGACAAGCTCAACTAGATTTCTTTCTCTCATTAATTTCCTCACCACTTAACAAGATATAGTTTTTTGCATGGTTGGACCAAAGTACAGTGCAACTGAAATGATAAACACTGTCACCGAGACTATGAAAGATGCCTGGATGGTAGATCTTTCTCTGCGATCCTCATCTGTTCTCTCACCAGGTCCACAATACATCATAATGGATACTGCTTCAGGCACAATGAAAATATCTCTGCATCACTCTGAAGATTTTATTAAATTAGCCTGAAGATTTTATTAAACT